GGCTGAGCTGTATAAAATCATCTCTCTCAATAGACAGTCAGCGACTGACAACTTTTTACGACTACTAGAATGGTGATAAAAATGAGTAATGGGCACTGAAAGGACCTTTTATTTATTCAGCGCATGTCGTTATATCTAGCTCTACATAAAATTTGCAACACGCCACATGTATGAAAAATTATAATAAATAAAATGCAAGAAAAAGCGGCTACAGCGACACAAGAAAAACGCTGAAGGAAAATGAGGTGTAACCACCCACTAACATCCCCAGAATGCACATAACAAACCCACGCACACAGCCTACACACACACACACAGAACAAGTATTCCTTAGCCGAAGACAATGAAAAACTTTTAATTGCACTTTTGATCATCACAACCGTGACAAATCTTAGGTCATCATCGAGGCCAATGAGGGCAATAGGAGGAAGAACATGGAGGGCGCCTGCAGTCACTCCGTCATCACGTGGCTTCTCCACCAGGCTCTCGACCCCTCCCCATCATAAGATGGCAAAAAGGGCTCCAGCACTTTATTGTGACAGGCAATCAAAACAAACAACGTTGTTCCACATTGCAGGATCCCCTCAGCTCGTGTGTATCAAAACATCTGTACACACTGCATTCCCATGCGCTGCGGGGGTCTCGAGCACATGAGCGGGAGCTTCCCAAACAGAGGCGGGGGAATTAAACCCCGTCTTCACAAAGCTGATTTTAACTGATGGTGTACGGTGGGTAAATGCGTTGAGTGTGATGCAGGTTTGATTGTGTATTGACTGATTGTCACAGGGGATTAAGTCCAAGCAAAGATTCAAAGCTTGGGTCAATGTTTGAAAACGTCCTAGTCATGGATGGATAACTGAACAGGCCCAACAGGCAGAGGCACAGGGGCCCAATGTGTTACACCCCCCCCAAGTCATTCCCTCTAAAATGACACTCGAAGACATTTACAGACCAAGAAGTCTCAAATAAAATGAGCACAAATGACACAAAAAGATAACAAAGAGACAGAAAATGACCAAAAAGATACAAATGACCTCAAAGAGACTATAAAGAGACACAGAAGCACTACAAAGAGATATAAAACAACTACCAGGAGACACGAAATGCCCACAAAGAGACACGAAATGACCACAAAGAGCACGAGGACTACAAAGACACACAAAGCAACAACCAAAACAGGTAAAGGCTTCGCGTTGTCAGTGTTTCTTGCTCCGCTGAAAGAGAGATAGATAGAGAGACAGTTACAGATCCCCATCCCTTTCAATGATCGATAACGTTGAAACAACATATATAAGTAACCCGGAAATTAAAAGAAATCTGGCTTTTGCATCCTTTTGCCTGCGAGTCACCGAAGTCAATCTCCATTCTGTCATAGTGCACAAAAAGTACAAACAAAAAGGATGTACTTTTGAGTCTGACACCATGTGTGCGTGACACGGCGCTCTCTCGGTTCCCTTCAGAGGTGTGCTCAGTCGACTGTGGGACCCACGGAGTGTGTATGGGCGGAGCCTGTCGCTGCGAGGACGGCTGGACCGGCTCAGGCTGCGATCAGCGGGTGTGCAACCCGCTCTGCATCAAACACGGCACCTGCAAGGACGGCAAGTGCCAGTGTCACCAGGGCTGGAACGGGGAGCACTGCACCATCGGTAAGCTCCCCCGTCAGTTTGTGTGTGTGCGCTTGTAGGCGTTTGTGTCAACACGCGGGCGTTCAAAAGGAAAGAAGAACAACACCCAGTGAAAACTGGCAGCTCCTTTCCTCTGTGTTAAAAGCATGTGGAAATGAGAAGGGGAGGCAAAAAGCGAGACTTTGGGGAATTTCAAGAGGGTGAGGGGGGTGGGGGGGGACGTGGGCGAACAGAGAGGAGAGGAGCGGAGGTGGAAGGATCCCAAAAGAGCCCTTTTGGGTTGGGTCTCCACTGCAGACCCCAGGAGGGTTAATTTCTGTGGCCTTTGAAACACCAAAGTTATGTGATTGAAGGTAAAACTCTTCACCTCACCGGGAAAAGAAATCTCTCTCACAGTGCGCGTGTGTGTCTGTGCGTGTGCGTGTGTGTGTGTACGTGTGTGTGCATGCATGCACAAAGTTGTGCCAGTGTGTGTGTGCTGTGAGTGTGCCTTTATATGCCAGTCGATCACAGACTCATACCACATCACTGTCACTTTGGATGGATGGGAGCTGGATTTCTGTGATTCACCCACAGTCCTTTGAAACACACTTTGAGTCTCATCTCCCCGTCACCACGAGCACAACAATCACAAACTGATAAACACACACACGCATCGCAACACACACAAACCAACACACACAACACACACAATGTGCACGTCCCCACAAACCCACACATATAGATATATACACATAGATACATGGGTGTGTGGATGTGTGCGTGCGCATGTGTGTGAATATATATATATATATATATATGTTCACATATACATGTGTGAGTCTATATACATTCATATATAGACTCACACACTGGGGAATATCAGTTTGTGATCTCCCTATTCCCCCCATCACAAAGTAGGGCAGCTTTGACTGCGGCATCATCCCGAGATGAAAGAGCCTCAGCTCGGCGTAAAGCACACTTCACTAGCACCAGACACTGTTAGCGTTTCTCTTGCTTGCCTGTTGTTCATTTCAGCTCTGCATGATGTTGCTTGCATTTATTTAAAGGAATAAAAAAGAAGAAGATGAAAAAAAAAAAAAAAACCTCTTCCCATCTCTTACCTTGTGCACGTTTTCTCCCACTGCAGACCATGGGAGCATGGTTGACAAAGCAGGTACCGTACTGGTGTTTCTGTCTCTTAGCCTGTGGTGGTAGAAGCTAGCTGCTGCATATGTGGGTTTCCGGCCTGGCTTGGCTATGTAGACTCTGTGGTGCTATCTGTCCGTAGATCCGAGTGCCGGCCTCGACGGCGACCCCCTGCACGTAGCGCACTCCCCTCTCACCGCGGCGCGCTGCTGCCAGGGGCTCGCTGTCAGCCGGCCTAGATGTGCTGTGGGGCACCGTAGAGCCTAGTGGGGTGTCAAAAGTGTGTGGAGCCGCTGTGCTGTGAACGTGTGGATGTGCATGCGTGTGAGCGTCTTCGTCTCCCGGGGGTTTCTGACGTTGGAAATGCAGCGACACACGACCTTCGCTCGGGCATTCTAGTCGTGTAACGCGCAGACACAGCTGATGTCACGCGAGGAGGAAATGATGAGAAGTTTTGAGGTAATTGGTGAATTTCATAGGCCATTGGTGCGAGGCCTTAATGTGGTGTCGAGTGTGTGCGCGTTTTTACTATTTGTGGCAACAGTCGGGGCCATTCTTAATACATTTATTTTGTGTGTGTGTGCGCGCGCGTGTGTTTGTCTTTGTGTGACTCAGCGAGCGTACAGTATTAATTTCAGGTTTTCTATCTTTTCATCAAACCCACCCTCTCCAACTGAAGCCTAGAAAGGAAAAGGGAAAAAAAACAAAACAGTTTAGTAAGATCGCACAAAGATAAACAGAAGCGTGGCGGAGGTTAAAACATTGGCGCGTAAAGAGAAGGGCGCAGGTCCAGGGTGAGTTGTCTCACACGCACTGCAGAGAATGCTTAATAGAGAGGCCAGCCGCCCAGCCTCTGTCGGGGCGCACGGAGCGGCACAGATTGCTTCACAGTACGGGTCCCCGGAGCGCCGTTGAGAGTGTCCTCTCACCTTCTGCTCTTAACGGAATAGCTCTCATTGTTTTATGGAGAAGCCGCCCCGGAGGAAGAAAGGTGAATCGCGGGGTTAAAGAGGGAGGAAGGGAGAGCGAGACAGAGAGAGGGAGAGAGAAGAACAGATGGAGGCGAAGGGAAGCGGGGTCACAGGTCCTGGAACACGCGGATAATCAATATAATTTCCATGATAGGTCGTTTGGGAATAGGAGGCGAAGCAGATGAGTGGAGGGTTATTTTCGAGGAAGCGCAGAGTTATCCGGTCCATCTCTGGAGCAGTGGTCTGGGATTTATGGCTGTGACCTTTACTGTGTGACCTTTTAGAAAAAGCAGAGCTGGAAACATGGAGAACAGGGGCAACTTTTCAGCTAGAAGTTCTCATTCTCTCTTTCTCTCTTTTTCTCTCTCATCTTTCCTTCGAGCAGCACACAGTATCTTTTTCTATCCCGTCACACCCCCCGACACACACACACACACACACACATGCAAGAATGTGTGTGTGTGTGCGTGCTGACCCATAACCCAAGGCAATTTCTTCTCCTTTTTAAGGGGATTTCATCAGAGTCCAACCACATTAGTGGGTAGGGTGGAGTTAATAGTTTCTGAAATCCCACTTTATTGTAGTTAGTATGAGAGGGGTATCGACTGGGGCCTGGCATTAAAGAGAAAGGAGTCTCGTGCCGGCCTGCCCGGGCAAGCCGATCAATGGCCGCTATGGATTGTCCTGTCCGGGTGCTTCATAAGTATTTGGCTGCTTTAAATGGCAACTCCATTTAACAGGCAATCACTGCTAACCGCCTTTGTTCCCCGAGCTCAATACTTGGGGACAATCTATTCAAGCTGCTCTGTTAATACAGCGTCCTAAGCAGTCCCACGGTGCAGAAAATGGCAATAATTACTGATAAAAAACCTTTGATTTTATTCTTCTTGTTGAGCTGAGAAACATGGTTAAGCTTTTCAGCTTAACAACCAACCCACCCCCCCTCTCTCTCCCACCCCCCCCCCCCCCCAGACACCCAGATACACACACAATTTACCTCTTCTTAGGAGTTTGATCTAGATGGAGCGCTGCCTTTCTCCAAGTCCTCTGTTGACTTTCCCTCATCGCCTGGCGGTTGAAATATATGATAAAAAGCCAATCGGGATGAAATGCCTGTTAATTTAGCTGCTGCCTCGGTTTAGATTGCGCTATTTGTATTCATAATGCAGGGCTTTATTGATGCAGAGATTTGTTAGAGGGCAAAATACGACAGTGCAACTTGAGTGAAAACATGTTCATTAATCTATTGAGCGCGACTCAGTGAAAATGGTTTCATATTCATAATCTCTTACTGGGTTGTTTTGTCCGCCCTCTGTGTCTCACTACTACTGAGTGGGAATGTCAGGTGATATCGCTAGGGTGCGTTGTCCTGGGTGTGTGTGTGTGTGTGTGTGTTTGAGTAAGTGCCTTTGCGTGCATGCACTTATTGTTTTATCAGTCAACCAGCGTCTTTTCCTCCGTATCCCCTGGATAGACTTAAGAGGGTTGCATCCTGCTCCCTCATTTATTGAAGAGGAAATCACTGGGAGAAGTTTGTTAAAGGTTTTTCCTGCTGCCAGAGAAAACATCGTCATTGTCATCATGCCTTTTTTTTCATTCTCCCTGATAGGTTATAACGTGGCAAACACACAGACCCGTGTTGGAGCCATAAAGGCGCGATTAAGAGAGGAAAAGTGGTCCGACAGGCCTTTTTGAAAAAGACGTAGAATAGGACAATTGTATATTTCTCTTTGTTGACAAGTAATCCTAAAGGGCAGGTGTGTAGCATTTAATGGGAATTAATCTGAATGTTTTTTTTTTAAATCATCTAAAAATATGAATCATGCATATTGTTACCTAGTTCCCCTAATTCATTGGCACACAGGAGAAGTTTAAGCTGGTAGCAATCTGAAACCTCACCTAAACTACTACACACTCACCATTTAATGGGTTGTGGAGAATACACTTTTTCCCAAAGAGTTAAATGATAAGTTTGATACCACCCTCATATCTGTCCATTCAGTGTGAAACTGGAGCCAGCAGAATGATAGCTTAGCTTAGCATAAAGACTGGACGAGTTGGGAAAGCGCTAGCCTGTTCTTGTTTTTAAGGGGATTATGTTAGGGACTTTTTCTTGTCTGGGCAGATTCAATTCTTGCCGTCTCTGCTGGCTGCCTGGCAACCCTGTGGTGACCACAAGTCTCCAAGACGTCATTGCTCCCCGTCAAGAAATAAATAACACGTGAACTAGTGCGCTTCAGACAGAGCTGTTTGCCGTCTTTATTCCAAGCTCAGGTCATGCAACTCGCGAAAAGCAAATTAGCCCACTTTCCAGAATGTGAAACCTTTTCTTAACATTTCCTGTGGTATTACAACCAACCAAAATTGACTGTGACAAGATCGTACAGCCCTCTGTAATTGCAAATGTTCTCATCCAGACGGCCATAAAATGTCTGCTTTTCTTTGCCTTAAAGCCGCTCTTGAGTTGAGGGCGGCCTCGCAATGCTAGTTACAGAACTTTCTTTGCTCCGGGGCCCCAGATTCTGGTATAGCTTTTTGCATAAACTAAAGTGAAGGTTTATTAGCTCATAGACTGCCACCGCACAGATACACACACAAGCACACACACACACACACACACACACACACACACACACACACACACACACACACACACACACACACTCAAGGGAACTTAATCCCATTCTCTCATGAGAAAGCATTACTCTCAGGCCATCAGAATCCCATTACCTACACTGAATCATAAGTAAGAGAGCGAGAGCGAGAGAGAATGTAATGATCGGGTTGGGCTCCATCAAGTAAGTGATTCAAGGGGTCCGTCCACACATGCACACACGGAAGGTGTCCATTAAAATTGACGTGCCGAATCAAAGGGATTGTTGAACAATCAATACTTACAGAATGCGACCACGTGGTTAAACAATTGAGTGAGACATTCATCTGTCATTATCATTTGAGCGTGTGTGGGTGTGTTTATGGATGTGCGTGTTTACTTGGGGATAAAGCAAACAAGCATCAACCACCTTCTCTTCCATCATCCTTCCCTTCTCTCCTCCTGTCCTCTCCTCGCAGACGGCTGTCCTAACTTGTGCAACGGGAACGGCCAGTGCACAATGGGACAGCAGAGCTGGCATTGTGAATGCCAGACAGGCTGGAGGGGCTCCGGCTGCAGTGTTGCCATGGAGACCTCATGCGCCGACAACAAGGACAACGAAGGAGGTGAAATGGGGCGGGCGGAAAAAAGAAAAAAAGGTTTCTCGAGCCATGAGATGGCATCGCCATCTTGGAATTTGACTACTGCCATCTTGGTTTTCTGCAACCGGTCAACCGGTCAGAGGACGCCGTAAAGGTAGCAATGTAGACCTGTCAATCACAATCTAGCCCCGCCCTTAAGCTCACCATGTGCTGTCCTATATTTTTATCTTAATGGGAGAGGGAATGAGAGTTTAAAGCCCCTCAAATGGGGGGTAAATTGCGGGGTTTTGGGGAAAAAAACTGGAGAAAATAATTAAGCCCTGGTTTTGGAAACCTTTGGAAATCTCCAAATTTTGGAGCTTTTTTTGCCCTTTTACCCCCTTTGGCCCCCCCCCCCCCCCCCCCCCATCAGATGGACTGACAGACTGCATGGACCCAGACTGCTGCATCCAGAGTCCCTGCCAGAACAGCCCGCTGTGCCGGGGCTCGCGGGACCCGCTCCTGGTCATCCAGCAGAGTCCGACGTTCCAGCCCCGCGTGCGCTCCTTCTACGACCGCGTCAAGATGCTGGTGGGACGGGACAGCACACACGTCCTCCCGGGGGAAAACCCGTTCAACTCGAGGTATTTTTCGAGAGCACACACACCAACACAGGCTACATGCAGGCTATTCGTATTCACGGCACTTTAGCTACAGCGGTTGATGCAAAAATGTAGGGCAATATTATTTTATATTAGCTACATCTCAATTTTTCAGAAATCAAGGCTCGAGTAGTTAATGTTTAAAAAATGTCTGTTACATGCCTGTGAGATGTTACAGAATATTATTCTTTTAGAAGGTATATGAAGAAATTAGTGCCGTAAGAAATTGCTCTAAAATCCAACGGCATAAATATCAAAAAGACTTGAGAATGGTTCACAGAGGCAGTCAGGACCTCGACAAATCCCCGAGCCAGAGCAGAGCCAGCCCAGATTTGGGAGAGCTGTGAAGCTCCGTCCGTGGGGCTGAATCTTGTTGGCACACCCTGACACATGCCGGCACGACATGTTTCAAAAGAAAGTAGCTCGTCAAATGTGTATCAGTTTGCTCAACCACTCTCACACACACACACACACACACACACACGCTCGCAACCGTTGCTGTGGTTTGTTTTTGTGATTGACGGAAGCTAATCTGGGTGGCGCGGTTTGCTGATTGTCTCTAATTAATGAGTGGTGCAAGAGCAGTGCAGTGAAGGAATGGGCCAACAGGGTGATTGAAAGATGGGGAGATTAATCAAACCAGATGATTGATGCTTAGGAAGATTGGGTTGATAGATTGACTATCGCTCCCTCACTCTGTGTCTTCTGTCTTCTTCCAGTTTGGCATCTCTAATCCGAGGTCAGGTGTTGACTACAGATGGAACGCCTCTGGTGGGGGTGAACGTGTCATTTGTCAACTACCCCCACTATGGATACACGCTGACACGGCAGGATGGAATGTATGTACAACAGCTACCCAGCACTCCTTGCTGAAACTACCTCACCACAAAGGCTGTATAATAAAATCAGATTGGATCAGATTGCATCATATTCAATTATATTAGATCAAATTAGATTAGATTAGATGTCTATAATGATCCCATGAGGAAACTGTGGCTGTTGCAGCAACAGATAATTAGATACAGCAAATACGGAAGATTTTGAATAAGAGCCGAGGAAATGTATTTACAAGAACAACACAACCAAGAGTCAAAACGCAATTGTGAAAGTGAAAATGCATTAATAAAAATGATAACGGGAATGAAAACTGGAAAATATGAAAACACCATTTATAACACAATGGGTCAATCAAATGTTTGAGAACAATTGCCAAGACATGTGTTTATAGTTATAGTCGGACAATTTGACAACAATTGGAGTTTTATTCTCAAAATAAAAATGTTGCAATATGTGGAAGATAGAAACTATGAAAGAAAAAAAGAAAAGACAAGCTTAAAATTGTATGTTTTATTTCTTTGCTTTAATTGACTTCCTAACACGTTTGGTTAACCCACCTGATATGTCTTTCCCCGCAGGAATTCAAGTTTCAGGGGAGTTTAAGGCTGCTTTAATTTGACTTTTCTGTCAAGCTCTTCCTCCACAACTTATATTAAATCCAAGACTGGCTGACACCTGTAAAAAGTTGATTCAGTGGTTCTTTGGACTGACCTCGACTCATTAAATGTACAATTTCTGTGTTCCCTGTCTCAGGTTCTTTAAGCACACGTCTCCTCCTCTTATCATTGCTTTCTTTGCAGCTTTTTCTCCCAGTTAGGCTTGGCTGATGCTGGACATCCGCACCCCTCGGAACACTTAATTAACCTTGTATTTTAGAGGCAGTTACTCACCAGTCCCACAAAGTTGCGACTTGAAAGAACACATTCTGAAATGCCCGTCTGACCTTGTTAATTTTTGATGAGAGCTTCCTTCTTCCACTCGATCAAGGCTCCCGGCCGCGGCGGTCCCAGACACGTACAAATCTCCACCCATTTGCCGTTCTCCTTGGCGAACGTGTCAATAAGCTGTTTCTGTACTAAACGTTTACCCGCAGCTGTCCATCATAATGTGGAGAGAGAAAAGCCATCTAAGGCATTTTTAACATTGGGTTATTTATATTTCAGACCTTTTACTGTTGTCTCGACGGGCTTTATGTGTATGCTATAAAGAAAAGTGTGTTGGGACGTCATCCAATTATTTCGGAAAATCTATTCCAGGTGTTTTTTTTGGGGGAGGGGGCGGGGAGATAAGTTAAAACAGTGCCGTGATATGTTATATTGGATGATCCTCCCCCCCCACAGCACGTCCCCATCTGTGCCTCATTCCCATCCTCTTCTTGCAAACCTCCCCAGGTTTGACCTGATAGCTAACGGTGGTGCGTCACTGACTCTGCGGTTCGAGCGCGCCCCCTTCCTGAGCCAGGAGCGCACCGTGTGGCTGCCCTGGAGCCAGTTTTATGCTATGGACACTCTGGTGCTTAAGACAGAAGAGAACACGATCCCGGGCTGCGACCTGAGCGGCTTCGTCAGGCCTGACCCTCTTGTGATTGCATCCCCTCTCTCCTCCTTCTTCAGCTCCAAGCCAGGGGAGAAACCCATCATACCGGAGACACAGGTGCAGTACCACTGACCTCTGGCAGCCGGCTAATCTCCCTTCTGGTTCCCTCGCTCTCTTTCCACTCTCTCCTGTATGCCTGTCTCCTGCAGCTCTTTCTCCTTTCGCTTCCATAGCCCCCCCCCCCCCGCCCCCACGCCCCTCCCCGCCCCCTCCTCCTCCCATGCGATCACCTCTTGCTCTATTTCTTTATTCTTCCTTGTTTTTTTCCCCGCTTTTTTTGTCCTTCAGCCGTCAGTGGAAGCGTGACCCCCATTACTCCCTCTTCCTCTAATCCCCCCCTAATCCCTCTCTCCTGTCATCTCCTCTCTTTTGTCTTCCAGGTGCTGCATGAGCAGATCGAGGTGCCCGGTTCAAGTCTAACGCTGTGCTACCTGAGCTCAAGGACGCAGGGTTACCGCTCGCTGCTCAAGGTTACCATGACTCCAGCCGTGGTGTCCATGGGCCTGCTGAAGGTTCACCTGATGGTAGCAGTGGAGGGCCACCTCTTCCAGAAGTGGTTCCACGCCTCGCCCAACCTGGCTTACACCTACATCTGGGATAAGAGCGATGCGTATGGGCAGAGGGTCTACGGGCTTTCTGAAGCTGTTGGTGAGTTGGAGGGAGAGGTGGATGAGAAGCTGGGTTGGGAGATGGTGGGCGGGGGGTGAAATCAGTGGACTAGGAACCAGCGAGGCAGCACTGGCTATGACAGAGGGAGAGTGTGCTAATTAGGAAGCCTGAAGGAGAGCTAATACACCAGAAACCCAGCCTCCATCAACTCTGCGCTACAGCCACAGTTAAGTGCTTTTTTTTTTTCTTTTTTTTTAATACTTCTATTTTTCATTGAAGCCGCTTGTGGTTCAGTCAGCCAGCCGTAACTGTGGTGAAGGGTTATTAGCCATCAGGGTGAGTTAGCAGTTAGCTACTGGAGCAGGGAGCAGGAGTCCAGGGGAGCAGCGGCGGCGCTATTACATTCCGCTGTCACAGTCGGTCACAGACGCTGTCAGCCATACACGGGCCGCCAGGCCACCGATGCAGCTGACATCTGTGGGCTTCGGCGCAACTAAAATCATGAGGGGCATTCTGTTTGAGAAATTGCATCCACCCACAGGGCCCGTAGTTCCCGAGAGCGACCGTAATTTGACATTTCTGGAAGATTATGAAGCACATACATGGTTTACGATCAGGTTAGTTTTTGCTAAGCGCAGACTCAGACACAGGTACATTACATTATTGTGTGCAGTGGGCCCGACAAGCTGCCGGCAGACTCACTGTGGCTCAGGTGGGAGTTGATGTGTCGACACACTTTTCCTTGCAACGCAACGGAACGAGCGCACCAGCATGCACACAAGCGCGTTCAGTCGGATCCGACTGTCAGCACATGAGCCGAGCAGGACGGGAGCAGCGGCAGAGTTTTTCGCCCTGTCGACCGGTGCAGCCGCGCGCTTGTAGTCCCGCGGGAGAAATGACTCCAATTAACAAGATTTTTAATTGATTTAGCATCACATGAGGGTGTAAGTTGGGTGTGAGTGCAGGTTTTTGTTACAGGTGCTAACTAACGTGTCTGTGTATCACACGTTTCACAACTTCAGTGAACTCGGGAGTCTGTGCTCAGATGAAGTTTTGCACTGCCTCCCTGCCTGTGTTCTTTCTCTCGTATTGACGTAGTTTCAGGTTTTTACTTCTCTAACTTCTTTGTGTCATTGCCTCTTTTTCCGCTCCGCCTCTACCCTCTCCTGTATGTAGTGTCAGTGGGCTACGAATATGAGTCCTGTGCCAGTCTCATCCTCTGGGAGAAGAGGACAGCCACTCTGCAAGGCTACGAACTGGATCCCACCAGTCTGGGCGGCTGGTCACTCGACAAGCATCATATACTGAACACACGCAGCGGTACGCACACACACACGCACACACACGCACGCGCTTTCCCTTTTGTTCCACTATTTCCTTCTAGTTTATATTCAGCCAGTCTCAGCGGGTAGATCTTTTTTCCACAAATGTATCCAGGATCTCTGTTGCGGTGGGCCAGGGGTCTTCCTTGTTGCATCATCTACTATTCCATTAGCTACACTGTGTGCAGTCAGGCTAAACGGAATGAAAGTATAAATGGGCTAAATGGGCTGACGCAGCGATGTTCACCTGCTGTGACAATCAATGCACTAATGGAATAAACACAACTGAAGAGCCAGTGGTGTGTAGCGGTATTTGTGGAGGTGGGGGAATGCACCAACGGTAGAGTTGGTGTTTCTCCTCAGAGTGATGCACTGCTACACTTTGGCCATCAAGAATACTTGCCAAATAATGCAATGTTGCTAACTCTGAACACATAGTAAGTATGTACATGTGTGCCAGTAAAAGAGCCTACTTTGCATCATTGTGCCTTTATTTACTGATACCAAAACACCTGTCGGGAGATAAAGTGATACCAAGACTGACAGCCGACAGCGATCCAAGCAGCTCACTGCTAACATCAGCATGTCACGTTTACTATCTACATTAGCCTTCCTAGTACAGAGGATTACCTTAATGTCAATAGTTTATTATGGAACATGTAGCCATTTTGCCTGATAATTGCACTAAACAAATAGTTCAGAGATCACATCAAAGTTACCGTAACTTCTGATCAGCACCATGTGGGTGTCTAGACCAAATCCTATGAGAATCTAGCCAACATTTGTTGGCCGTGTAACTGAAATATTGACCTTCAATCTACTTATGTTTCTCTCCTATCCAGGGATCCTTCACAAGGGAAGTGGCGAGAACATCTTTGTGACGATGCAGCCCCCGGTAATCACCAGCATCATGGGAAACGGGCGGAGGCGCAGCATCTCCTGCCCCAGCTGTAACGGCTTAGCAGACGGCAACAAGCTGCTGGCGCCAGTCGCCTTGGCAATGGGCATCGACGGCAGCCTCTACGTCGGGGACCTCAACTTTGTGCGCAGGGTCTACCCGTCTATGAACACAACCGGTATCCTGGAATTAAGGTAAAATCATCATCGTGAGAAAGAAGATTGGGATTCCGAAGCTTTTTGGATGTTGCAAAATGACTGTTTCAAGAAGGGCAGGTTGAAGTAAGGAAGGACAAAGACAGGGAGAACGAATAGATGTTTTCAGTGCATTCAACGTGTAGGATCAAAATAAGGGTGAGACACTGGGGATGGCAGGATCCGCGCTACTCGGGGGGGGTCTACACACTTGGCTAAATGTTGCTGTTCACACCATGGCCAGCTTTGTGTTGCTCTCCACAGACAGTGTGAATTAATGTTGGTTTCGTTGTGCTTTTCTATCACTTTCTTCTTTGAAGGAACAAAGATTTCAGACACAGGTAATTTAAAAAGCTTATCCTGCACATTCCAGCAACAATCGCTACTTCAAATTTAAAACTGAGCTTGTCACTGACACAATCTTCCTCTTTTTTCGACCTCAGTAACAACCCAACCCACAAGTACTTCCTGGCAGTGAATCCAGTATCCGGGGCTTTGTTCATCTCCGACACCAACTCCCGAAGAATCTACCGCGTTCACTCGCTAACGGGAGGCCGTCTGCTGTCGGACAATGCAGAGGTGGTGGCTGGGACGGGGGAACAGTGCCTGCCCTTCGACGAGCGCTGCGGTGATGGCGGCAAAGCTACCGAAGCCACTCTCATGAGCCCTAAAGGTGAGCCACTTGCAGAAAGAAAACGTCCGGAAAAATGAATCACCGGTAAATGCCGTCTTCCAAAAACGTTGGCTTTCTCCAAGTCCCGTCTTTAGACTGTAAGTGCTTGCTGCTGTTTTGTACAACTATAACTTCGACATCCTTTGGCTTTTGTACTGTTGTTTGGAGTAAACTAGGCATTCAAAGATGCCCCTTTGGGCTGCGGGAGATTGGGACATTTTAATGCAACTGATCACCAGTTGCAGCTCCAGGGAGGCGCAATAAGGCCAGAACGACCAATAACCTTGTGACGGCCTTTTGAAAGGCAGCAAGATGGCCGTAACACAGGCGAGCACTAACTTATCTGTGGTCGAGAGGTGAAATAATAGTACCAGTCATTTATTTATTGGGTTTCCAGCAAACCAGCAAGATGAGGACATGAGGGTCAGGAACAGGGAAGTCGAACACAATAAACAGGACTCCTCCACTAACCAGAAAATTTAAAGTTCAGCTTTTACCACTAGAAATAAACAGAAACAAAACTCCCTGTGCAGCCACAAAACAGAAAACAAGAATATTGAAACAAATGGCAGAGAAACCCTACAAAACCTCCTCAATATGTACCAGAGCTGCCTGGGGACACGGCACCCACAGCGAATCAGAAGAGAGGAGGGACTTCTGAACAGCCGAGGAGGAGAAGGAGATATATGATCTGCTGGTCGCCTGAAGCGCCGCAGCCTTGCCAATGAGCGCCTGGAGGGACGAGGCCGGACTGAAACACACAGAGCTCTCTCCTAAAAGAAAAGAGAGGCACAATTAAGTCAGGGGATGCAACAAACCTATTGTTTAATATTACTTGCAGATTTGTTGCATGTGATTCTTTGTCGATTGACGTATTAAAAGGATGAAAAGAGCTGATAAAAAAAAAGAAAAAGTGTCTGGGGGATATTTTTTTCTCAATGTGCCGATCGCGTGACTCAACTAAAGCAGGACAGAAACCGAAGGAGGTTATAAACCAGGTTACTGTTAAACTTATTAATGGAATGGTTTTTGTGGATCATTGGATCTGAGAACATTGTGACACCAAACTGTCAAGGATGTCACCCTGTCACATTTGCGATCACTGTGTGTGTCTGTGACTGCACATACACATGGCGTCCGTATACATCCAGTGTGTGCATGTGGGCGAGTGTTTGGGGAAGAAGATGAGACACCCTCTTACCTGTCACAGGCACACGCCAGCTTGCCCGCTCTGCCTTTTCCTCCTCCGTCTTTCTCTCCCCTTTTCTTCCTTTCCTTCCCTCGCTTACAGCGTGCCTTTCGCTGCATCCTCCATATGTCGTTGCATCTAGGAGTTATTTCGGGGCACACACCTGTCTGAATGCCTGCTGCCTGTTAAACCGACGAGGCTGACACAGCACCAGTGGCGAACGCAAACAAATTAAAATGCAGAAAAACGGAGGGAAAGGCGAAAGGGGGGTGGAGGGGTGTAGCAATAGATTACTCACTTTTCTAAAGAATCTGTTTGCACGGTTGCTCTCCGGGAGGAGCGTGAGTTCCGCTCCGCATTCCGATGACTCATCCCAAAACTAACACTTATCCAACAGTTCAGTGCTCCCTCCATCACTTTGTTCCGTCTCATTCGATGAAGCATCGAGCCATTCAGCTGTCAGGCTCGCTATCCGTTTCCGGGCGGTGGAGAGATGTGAAGTTTAATTGACTCAAATCGTCCACGGGTCACCCCGAGTTCATCGCGTTATGAGTCGTCCCTCACGGTGTTCATCTCCGCTCCGACAGGCATCGCGGTGGACAAAAACGGCCTGATGTACTTTGTGGACGCCACCATGATCCGTAAGGTGGACCAGAACGGCATCATCTCCACTCTGCTAGGGGCCAACGACCTGACCGCCGTGCGGCCGCTAAGCTGCGACTCCAGCATGGACGTCAGCCAGGTACGAGCGTTTGGGGGGGGTGATGGCATGATAGATAATGATCTAGCGGCACCCTAAGTGCTGAGCCGGGGTGATTGTGTGGACTCGCGCCAGCCAGGAGGTCGGGAAGAGACTGATTTAGGGAGGGATTAAAGAGTCCGCGGATAATTAATGGATCAGAGGAGGGGGGGAGGGGACGGGCCTGCAGGGGGGACTGCAGTCACTTAAAAAAATGAGGAGGAGACTTGTCTGACCCTTGGCACCCTTTCAAAGCACCTCCCTGGGCATAGATGTTATCTGGTGTCTTTTGTTTCTGCGTACTAGGTGCGTCTCGAGTGGCCAACGGACTTAGCGGTCAACCCCATGGACAACTCGCTCTATGTGCTGGAAAACAACGTCATCCTACGCATCACCGAGAACCACCAGGTCTGTACCGCGAGGCCGGACCGGCCCTGCACAGCCCATGGGGGTGGCTTTGACAGGATCGTGTCCCAATTAGGCTCTCTCTGGCCAATTTAGAAGTAGCAGCTCATATTCTAGCATAGTTCCCCAGTGGTGGTAACGTAACAATTAGTGCTTAGAATATTCTACTTTCCGGACTCTTACTTCATTAGTTAAAGTTTCATCTTCAACGTCCGGCGAGCTGCCCGCTGCAGAGCATCTCTCCACGTTGGTAACATTGTGAATGCAATTTTCTCCGTTGCCCCCCCAGGTGAGCATCATCGCGGGTCGGCCCATGCATTGTCAAGTGCCCGGCATCGACTACAGCCTCAGCAAGCTGGCCATACACGCGGCCCTGGAGAGCGCCACCGCCATCGCCTTGTCCCAGACCGGCATCCTCTACATCGCCGAGACAGATGAGAAAAAGATCAACAGAGTCAGACAGGTGTGAGATTAAGGAGCGCTGAACACAAGCGGTTCGTTCTGGAGGGAGTTTGTTGGTCCTGCTTGTTGCCTGGCGAGACTCACAGCACAGCTGTCTGAGCTGTGTGGGTGTTTAAAAAGAAAAAAAGAAAAAGACATTCTCCGATTGTTTCAGATCTCCAGAGAATACATTCCGCTCAGGGATTCCCCGGTTTTGATCACTCAAAATGAATTGTGCTTTCGGTGATACGTCTCCTTTCATTGAGTCATGAGTTCTTTCAAACCTCATCATCACTCTCCCACTTCCCGTCCTTTTTTTTCTCCAGGTGAGCACGAACGGAGAAATCTCCCTCCTGGCTGGCGTCGCCTCTGACTGCGACTGCAAAAACGACGTCAACTGCAACTGCTTCTACGGCGACGAAGGCTACGCCCCCGACGGGGGCTTGAACTCCCCCGCTTCCCTGGCCGTGTCCCCGGACGGGACGCTCTTCATCGCGGACCTCAACAACATACGTATCAGAGCCGTGCGGGCCAACCGGCCGGGCCCCGCCGTCTCCAGCGCGGGCTACGGGGGGGCCGCGCAGTATGAGGTGGCGTCGCCGAGGGAACAGGAGCTGTACGTCTTCAACGGGGAGGGGCTTCACATCCAGACCATTAGCCTGGTGACCGGGGAGCCGCTCTACAACTTCACCTACGGCGCGGACGGGGAGCTGTCCACGCTGGTGGACAACTGCAACAACACGGTGAAGGTGAGACGGGACGCCCAGGGCCAGGGAGGAGGGGCCGGCCTGCTCAGGCTGGTGCTGCTGCCCGAGAACCAGGTGGTGACCCTGGGACTGGACCCCACCGGGGGGCTGCGGAGCGTGTCATCCCTGGGACAGGAGGTGGCTCTGATGGGCTACAGCGGCAACAAGGGCCTGCTGGCCACCAAAGCAGACGAGACCGGGTGGACCACGTTTTACCAGTGAGTGTGTGCTCGCAAAGCCTTTCTCACCTCTCTGAAATACACAAAAATGAAGGTTTCATTCTGTGAAACGTTGTGCTGCAGTTGTTCACCTCGCATGGTGTGCTGCTGCCCCCCAGTGTCAGCTTTTGTGACCACACTCGCAATGATTGCGAGCTTGCCTCGTTCCCTTCGGCCAATTTCACTCACGGCGAATCGCCCCGCCTCCCCAGGTACGACAGCGAGGGCCGCCTGACCAACGTCACGTACCCCACGGGCATGGTGACCAGCCTCCACCGCGAGATCGAGCGCTCCATCAATATCGACATCGAGAGCTCCAGCAGAGACGACGACGTCACCGTCATCACCAACCTGTCCTCCGTGGAGGCCTCGTACACCGTGGTGCAAGGTATTCAAAAAGCATCCAGCCTCTCTGGTGGAGGATATGCGGCCAACTCTAATTGAAAGCCTTGTCATCTTCACTTTGTTATGTGCATGCTCCAGGAAATGATTTTTACCTCCCTTCCCCCACTCAGCTCCCTCTCGCTCCCTCACGCCGAGTAAAATGACCAATATGTGGTTGTTAATCACAGCTGGGATCATCCTGCTTTTGAATGTTATCACAGCAAAATTCATTAAGTCATGCAGCGCGAATCCTCCTCATCCCTCAAGCTCCCTCCTCACACACACACACACACACATAAGGACATACAAACACGACTCTCAAGCAGATCCCATGATCCCTCAGCTTATTTGGTCTGTTTAAAGAGGAACCAGAAGAGGTAGAATCATTTCCTCTCACTACTTGACCAGTGGCGTGGCAGTGCGAAGGCAGACCGCGGCTTACTTAAGGCTGAAAAGGCCTCGGGGAGAACAGGTTGTGGACGCAGTCACTGATCCACCTGCGCTGCGGGAGGAGAGCCGGTCACGGAGCTTTAAGTCGTTTTTCTCCGCCGCACCGTGTGGGTTTGTGCACAGCTCTCTGCTGACATGCTCACTTAACCGTCTCCCTCTCTTTCCACTCGTACTCGCTCTCTTCATTAACTCCTCCACAGTGAATTCTCGTTGGCCCCTCTAGCTCTCATTTCTCCCTCAACCCTCGCTTCGGTTTTATTACGAGGTCGTTCAGAGAGAGGGAGCAGGGGAGATTTATCTAAAGGCTGTTGCTGCCAAGTCAATGGAAAGAGCTTCACTTGTCTGCTTGAGGCATTGTTAAAATGTGCCTGGAGCTTTATTACAAATTGGCCTTATGGATTACTGTCATTTATGGCATGGCTTCAGAGAGAGACACCATCTGATCCCCTAACCTTTTGTAAATGGAATAAAAAAGAAGAGGCCCCCCACCCCCAATCTGCCAGATATTTCTGAGCCGAAAACAATCAGACTTTAAATCACATCATTGGGGCAGGACTCGTGTCACACTTTTCCATTGTGTTTGAGAGTCATTGAAAAACAATTGTTTTTCGTTGAGAATATGTCAGAGTTGGGATGAAGACATGAATGTTTCATGGACCTGATCTGGTTCTTTGTGACATCATATTCACACTCACACACTATTAAAACCTATTTTATTGGTCTGATCCCACCGGTTTTCCTGACCTTACAGCTGTCTGTCTCCCCCTACAGACCAGGTGAGGAACAGCTATCAGTTGTGCAACAATGGGACCCTGAGAGTGATGTACGCCAACGGGATGGGCATCAGCTTTCACACGGAGCCCCACATCCTGGCGGGCTCGGTCAGCCCTACGATCGGGCGCAGGAACATCACCCTGCCCACCGACAACGGCCTCAACTCCATCGAGTGGCGTCTGCGCAAGGAGCAGACCAAGGGCAAGGTCACCGTGTTAGGGAGGAAGCTCAGAGTGAGTGGACTGTTCGGCGAGAGACGTATTTGAAAATAACAATAACGTCTCTCCGGAAATTAACCGTCCCCCGTTCGCCCCTTTCACTAGGCCCACGGTCGCAATCTTCTCTCCATTGATTTCGACCGCAACACGCGCACGGAGAAGATCTACGACGACCACCGAAAGTTCACGCTGCGCATCATGTACGACGCCCAGGGCCGTCCGGCGATGTGGCTGCCCAGCAGCAGCCTGGCGGTGGTCAACGTGTCGTACTCCACCACGGGACAGCTGGTCGGGCTGCAGAGGGGGAGCATGAGCGAGAGGACCGAGTTCGACCCGCAGGGGCGCGTCCTGTCGCGCTCATTCGTGGACGGGAAGGTGTGGAGCTACAGCTACCTCGACAAAGTAAGCATATCGACATCGTCGCCTAGGTAACAGATCTGGCCCCCGCGAAGGCAACCGCGGCAGGGAATACTAATTTCAAATTCAATTGCGAAGTAATACATCATTTTCACAGTTCAAATTTGTCAACGGAGAGCAAATTACAGCCGTTGCTGTTTCACAGGAGGCAAGTCATCCGTGGATAACGCTGTTGTGTTAATCCGGATTGTGCCCCCCCTCTCTCTGCCTGCAGTCCATGGTGCTGCTTCTGCAGAGCCAGAGACAGTACATCTTCGAGTTCGACGCCTCAGGTCGCGTCACGGCCGTCACCATGCCCAGCGTGGCCCGACACACCATGTTCACACACGTCTCCGTCGGCTACATCCGCAACACCTACAACCCCCCGGAGAGCAACGCCTCCGTCATCCACGACTTCAGCGAGGACGGCCGCCCTCAGGCCACGCACTACCTGGGCACCGGGCGCCGCGTCCTCTACAAGTACGGCAAGCTGGCCAAGCTGGCGGAGATCGTGTACGACAGCACCGCCGTCACCTTTGGCTACGACGAGACAGCCGGCGTGCTGAAGATGGTCAACCTGCAGAGCGGGGGCTTCTCGTGCACCATCCGCTACCGCAAAATGGGGCCGCTCATCGACAAGCAGATCTACCGCTTCAGCGAGGAAGGAATGGTGAACGCGAGGTTCGACTACACCTACCACGACAACAGCTTCCGTATCGCCAGCATGAAGCCGGTCATCAGTGAGACGCCGCTGCCCGTCGACCTTTACCGATACGACGAGATCTCCGGAAAGGTGCTCAAGGGTCCAATTTGTGTTGGCTGCCAGAGGACTCGCGTTCTTTTTTTCCTAATTCTTTTCCGTCCCTTCCCACAGGTGGAGCACTTTGGAAAGTTTGGGGTCATTTACTACGACATTAATCAGATCATCACCACCGCCGTCATGACGCTGAGCAAGCACTTCGATACCCACGGTCGCATCAAGGAGGTCCAGTACGAGATCTTCCGCTCGCTGATGTACTGGATGACGGTGCAGTACGACAGCATGGGGCGGGTGGTGAAGAGAGAGCTGAAAATCGGTCCCTACGCCAACACCACCCAGTACCGCTATGATTACGACGGAGACGGCCAGCTGAGTGGCGTCAAGGTGAGTGTGGGTCGAATGTCCACAAAACATGTCATCACACTTTTGAAACGTGAGACCTGACCACCGCCGCCTCATCCAGGTGAACGACTGGTCCACCTGGCGCTACAGCTACGACCTGAACGGCAACCTCCACCTGCTCAACCCGGGGAACAGCGCCCGCATCCTGCCGCTTCGCTACGACCTCAGGGACCGCATCACGCGCCTCGGAGATGTCCAGTACCGCCTGGACGAGGACGGCTACCTCAGCCAGCGCGGCGCCGACGTCTTCGACTACAACTCCAAAGGTCAGCTGCTGAGGGCCTACAACCGGGGCCCCGGCGGGTGGAGCGTGGTGTACCACTACGACGGGCTGGGCCGCCGGGTGTCCACGAGGAACAGCGTGGGGCAGCACCTTCAGTTCTTCTACGCCGACCTCAACCACCCGGCCCGGGTCACGCACATCTTCAACCACTCCAGCTCTGAGATTTCGTCGCTCTACTACGACCTGCAGGTAGGCGCGGGTGGATGAACGCGGTGATCCTTAGAGTAATACAGCTACACCCGGACGCATGATATGAATGTAGCGGTTTTCTGTGTGTCACGTGATCAGGGGCATCTGTTCGCCATGGAGGTGAGCAGTGGAGAGGAGTACTACATAGCCTCTGACAACACCGGCACACCGCTGGCTGTCTTCAGCAGCAACGGACAGATGATCAAGCAGGTAGGAAACGTTGAATCTCACGCTGCCGCGAAAAATAAAAACGCGTGGAAAAAGGCTTCTTGAGAAAATTGACGGCGCTCGCGTCCCGCAGGTGCACTACACGGCCTACGGAGAGGTGTACCTGGACTCCAACCCGGAGTTCCAGCTGGTGGTCGGCTTCCACGGAGGCCTCTACGACCCCCTGACTAAGCTGGTCCACTTCACCCAGCGGGACTACGACGTGTTGGCCGGACGCTGGACGTCGCCCGACTACAGCATCTGGCCCAAGATAGGGAAGGATCCCTCTCCGTTCAATCTGTACATGTTCAAGAACAACAACCCCCTCAGTGACATGCTGGATGTCAAAAACTACGTCACAGGTAGACGATGGGAACAGTGAACTACGTTGCATGGCGGTTTCTACACAAGCCATTCCAAACACATTTTTCTTCCAAGATCATAACATTGAAAATGGCAGAATAGTCAGATACCCGGACAAATCACATCTCCACAAAAAGCTGATAATGTCTCTGATATCTCTATTGTGCAGAAGAAACTTCTGCTTATTAGCTTATTAGCTTATGCAAGTAAGAAATGTAGCCCAGATGACACGGTAGCAAATAGCTTTGCATGACATCAGATGTGTCGCACGAGCAAATAGCCATTCCCTTTTTATGATTTGTTTGCAGCCGTGTATATTTTACTCATTCGGCTAATTCATTTCCCCCTCGTCTTCTGTAGACGTGAAGAGCTGGCTGGTGATGTTTGGCTTCCAGCTCAGCAACATAATCCCCGGCTTCCCCCGACACTCGCTCTACTTTGTGGAGCCGCCGTACGAGCTGCAGGCCACGCAGCACTGCGAGAACGGACAGGTACCGTGCTGAGACTTGTGTGCGAATCTCAGCCCGAGGTAGTGCTTCGGTTAACGGACCAGCTTACATTTTCACGGCAATGCAATCTTCTTCTCTCCCGCAGCTCATCACCGGTGTGCAACAGGCGGCCGAGCGCCACAACCAGGCCTTCATGGCCCTGGAGGGCCGGCGCCTTAACAAGGAGCACCGGAGACGCAAGGACAAGCCCGGCCACTGGTTCGGCACCAGCGTTCCCATAATAGGCCGAGGGGTGATGCTGGCCCTGAAGGAGGGCCGCGTGGTGGCCGGCGTGTCGGCCCTGGCGAGCGACGACAGCCGCAAAGTGGCCCTGGTGCTCAACGGCGCCCAGTACCTGGAAGGCACCCACTACACCCAGGAGGGGAAGGACTGCCACTACTTTGTGAAGGTGGGCTCCGCCGACAGCGACCTGCTGGCCCTGGGGCTCACCAACGGGCGCAAGTCGCTGGAGAGCGGCATCAACGTGACGGTGAGCGGCCGCTCCAGGAGGGGAGTGACCGCCGAGTTTGCGGTGCCGGCGCTGGTGCTGAGCGTCCGGTACGGGCTGGCGGCAGACGTGGTGGACGAGGAGAAGGTAAGACTGTTGGAGCTGGCCAGGCAGCGGGCCTTGGCCGGAGCCTGGGCCAAGGAGCAGCAGAGGGCCAGGGACGGGAAGGGGGGCAACCGCCTGTGGACGGAGGGGGAGAGGCAGCAGCTGCTGACGGCGGGCCGCGTACAAGGCTACGACGGGTACTACGTGCTGCCGGTGGAGCAGTACCCGGAGCTGGCCGACAGCAGCAACAACATCCAGTTCCTCAGACAGAACGAGATGGGCAGGAGGTAACAGCCCCCATGCCACCGCTCTGAAGCCCCCCCCCACACTTTCTCTTCTCCACACCCTGCTCTTTTTCTCCGACCCGACTCCCCTCGAAAACCCGTAGAGAATGAAAACCAACACACCTGGTTACTGACGCTGCAGGGACTTCAAGAAGAATTACTAGAAAACTGATTATTGTTCATTTCACTGCCGCAGGCAAGAAAATGAAGTTTAGTCAAGCAGTTTTTTTCTCTTTTTTTTTTTTGGAAAAACTTTTTTTGAAAAGCACTGAAGAACTTTAAAAACTGTTGCTTAATAAATACGGAGATTCCCCTTTTTAAAAGGGATAGTGATATTTTCCGCCCATATTTCTTGGGTCACACTGAGAGCGGGCCGGTTTAGTGAGTCGCAGTCGCGCTGGCTTCTGCTGCGCAGGCTTCTGCTGCGCAGGCTTTCCCGTCTGAAGGCACATGGACCAAACGGGGGAGGGGGGGCGGGGGGGCAACCACCAAACATCAAAGGAGGGTATTGTAAGCGGCAACACACAAGGCAATGTCAAAGGTCGTCCCATCCAATGAGTCGTCTCCCTGTCTCAGGCCTCCCATCGTCTACCATGGACGAGTCCTCTGCTGCAGAGGCAGCGCACGTCCAACAAGGCGACACACATCCACACACACACGAAACCTAACGGCATCCTTGAAAATGGACCTTTTTAAAAAAACAAAGTGAACAAAAAAAAGTGATGGCTATATTTGTGGACAGTGGTATCACACAGCATTGTTTATTTGGAAACGGCGTGAAGAATCATATTCCTCCATATGTGTCCGACTTCACTAAAGTTCCGGATGTTGCGTATATTGTGGATGCCGTAGTTTTGTACGTTTCAGTCGCGGTAGAATTGTGAGACTTTCACCAAGGCACTTCTGTACAGAACGATGACACGCACTGCTCACACAGTCATGAAAACATGCTACGTTAGTTATTTATTTTATTCTTTTTTTATTTATTTATTCTTAGTACTATATGACAATCATGAATGAGTCACCAGTTCTATTCCAAATGAACATTAATGGACAGGTTTATTTTCTTTTGTAAAATATGTAACAATTTTTGTTTTTGTATTAATTTCAGTTTGCTGCCAGGGCAAATAATAGTCATTCTCAAAAAGAATAATTTATGTAATAAAGTCTTAAAAAAAACGGTTTATACTTTAAATAAAGTCTTTAAAACTGTGAAATCTGTTTTTTCGAGCTATATTTCGATGTACAGTGTATAGATTTACCTTTATGCAGCACAGTAGAATATTGTCCAGAATATCGAGTTTTATATTTCTAAGAGGAAGTGGCTTGTAATGTGCAAAATCTTTAGCTGGTCTTACTGCTCTAGAGTTTTGTGGCACTCTAATATTCCATATCTACAATATCAATCCCGTTTGTTGTTTTTGACTGTTTTTTGATTTGGAAGCAGAGATCATTTTCTGTCCTAGATCCCAACAGCGGTAGCAGTATGAAGAGACTCGTGCTGGATGTCATAATGTACCAAATCAGTATTATAGGATGATTCTTATACATTCACTGAAACGAGACTCTTCTGAGAACCTTATCAATAAAACATAATTGTTTACTTCAACTGAGCAGTGTCTAGTTCACGTTCATCTCATTTTCTATGTGTGTGTGTGTGTGTGTGTGTGTGTGTGTGTGTGTGTGTGTGTGTGTGTGTGTGTGTGTGTGTGTTTGAAGAAGGTTGCTGTTATTGTTTACAGTGGCAATGGCTCGCAGAAACATTATGTTGTGTTTCAAGAGTACTGGAAAAGGCTGCAGTGATAAAACGGTAAAACAAGCCCTTTCTATCTTTATTGTTTGTCCACCTCGCTGAATTGACTGCATTTAACAGGCATACATTAGTGTTTGAAAAATGTTAATAGATAAATGAGTGATGTATTGATGCCATTTAAGCAACTACACACAACTGCTGTACCTCGTGAGTAAATATATTTTTACACTGACAGCTCATCGATATTAATGTTCCATTCAACCAGCCGTTACATTTAAGCCTTTTGACTCTTGCTTACGGATTGATGGTTTTTTTTGCAATAATTTGAATGTTCTTGTGCCCTTTCAGCAGTGTTACAGCAGGTTTAAGCATCAAGTCAATTTTTTATAATGACAATAGATCACATGGCTACAGTACATTCAGAATCTATTCAGACCTCTTCCATTTATTTCCACATTTTGTTCTGTGGCAACCATGTGCTAAAATGGATTTTAATTCATTTTAAATTCACACTTAACACCCTGTAATCACAAAGAAAAACTGGATTATGGCTTCTTTGTTTCTTTTTTTTTCTCCAATGTATATTATATTACTTTATTTCATTGAGATACTGCTCCGCCTTTGACTGAATGTTATTAATTGGACCGGGCAGATGCTGATTTTGCACAAAGCAATTACCCACAAGTCAATGCGATGTGACTCAACACGGGATGACCGGTGGAAGCGTGCGGAGACGTATATGGTAAACAAAGAGATGTCACGTACAGAAACATAAAGCATTAAAGCTGGAACAAAATAATTCAGGTATTTACTCATTTATTTATTAAATATTGTTTGTGTCATTAAAGCTGTGCGTCCGGCTCGCAGACGGTCCGTATTGGTAAAATGAAGTCTGAATCTGAATATCTTGAATATCTTGCCATAACTTCCAATACGGTTCGAATTTTGGAAATTTAAATGATGATATACTTTACAACTTTACCGAACTATGAAGGAGCCTGCATATCTTATCTCATTATTTCGACTGTATATCCTAATTTGTATTTTCCAAAAATCGTATTGAAAGTTGGCACGGACGCATGGTCTTAATGCGCCGGTAATGATGGTAAATTATGGTTGTAACTGGTTGTCATCTACGGTCCAATACGGAGAGGTGCCGTTTGTGTTTTGACAACGTTTTATCTCATAATTTCGACTTTCTGTCCCCTTTCTTTAGTGCGGAAATAGGTTTCTATTGTTCTGTGAATGCGTACCTTCAGCCAATCCAGAGGCGGGGTTTGTAACCAATGAGATGTAGATACCATGGCGACTGGCTCCGCCCCCTCACTGTCAAAACAGCGAGCGCGCAGAAAACACCTTATCGAGCGCGCAGATTCAGGTTTTGCGAGCGAGCAAATAGCTAGCGCGAGAGGGACTTTTGCTCGTGAATGTTTGATTTACGCGCGCGCATGAACCTGATTTGCGCTCTCGAATTTTGACAGTGATTTGCTGTCATAACAACGGCCCACTCCCAAAGTCCCCCCTCCCCTCCTAACACCTGATCCTCCATTACCCAGCTGACGTCACCTGGTCAGTGGTAGCGCGTGAGTCTGCCGGGGCTTTAAATGGTATAAATATGAATGGAACATGTCACGTCACCATGAATGAGTTACAATTGAGATTATTTATTTAATACTATCTAATTTCAACGTCTTTGAGAAGTTTCAATTAGTATTTTACGTTTTTGGAGAAATTCTATTTTCTCAGAAAAACATTTTATATTTCATGAATAGATAATACATTTCGTCTGATTTCATGTCTTTTCTCCATCTTCAATCATTGATGTTTTAAACTGTATTGTAAACATTGTATTATGAGAGTCAGAACACACGTGTGCCGTCTTATTTATTTACCTTTTTTACTTGGTATCCCGTTTTTAACGTCACTGTCACATGTCAACACCCAACGTTGACTACACGGAAAGGGTTCGTATTGGCTTAAAATGTCTGCCTGACAGCCCGCAAACACTCACACACAGGTTGGCTGATGCATCAGGCTCTTGGTTATCTCGAAAGCGGATCAAACAGTTTCACAGCTCTGATAGTTTACCACATCAGGTTAAGGGGTCACTATTTTATTTTTTTGTAAAAAAGAAATAGAGGCGAAGAGACACTTTGCAGAATTCTCACCAACAGTGAAAATATCCAAGAAGTACTTCCATCTATAACGATACACATTTTACAAAATCATCTGTCGATTCTGTACAACATTTTAATCTCAGAAGAAATAAGGTACGAGAGGCTGCACTTCATCGTCTAATAATCTAAGAGTTCGCGGTTGTTGTTAGGTCCGACGCGGAGCGGTTGGGTCATAAATGTAATCATTAACTCCCCCTAGCTTTTGAATTAAAGTAGAATAAAATATCAAGTACAGATCTCAAAACTTAACCAATTACTTAGATCTACTTTGTTGATCTTCACAGCTGTGCAAGCCCTGACACATCTGTAATTTATTCCATCGTCATATTTGTTTAAAACGGTCTCTCCACCTTTCTGGTTTCACTTTTGTAAACGTGTCAGACATGCTCCGGCAGCTGTGGTATAAATAGTTGATTGATCCGGTCAGGCCTCCGGCGGCTGCAGTGGATCTATACGCCTGTAACGTCGCACACAGCTGATGTACAGAAACGACAAAGCCTTCCGCTTTATGGGAATAACTCATTTTAATGCAAGTTTCTCATCAAGGCAAAACAAAAGGCATCCGACAGGTCATTTGGTGTCTTCTGTTAAGCAAGCAATTTTTTCATATTTTCAGTTTTATTTCCAAGCTTTATAATAAAAACAACATTGGATTCTTTTTTTTCATAACAAGATCATGGAACAAAACATGTGGCCATTGACTGTTAACAGTAATCAAACAAATCGCTGTCATCTTTAAAAACGCATTCATATGATTCCACCGGAGGACATACGTCGGCAAAAAAACATCCCCTGTGCAACTGAAAGGGACACATTTCAGGCGTTAACTTAATAGCGGCCAGTGGCTCGTCAACGGCCCTTTGGAGTGTAGAGGGGAGGGGGTCCGCGGTAATGGGCTTACCCTCGGTGAAGCAGAAGGGAGTGCTGGAGATGGTTGACATGGCAAACAGGAGTAGTATCTTATAGAGGTAATCATCATAAAGTGCCAAGAAAGCCTCACACCAGATGAGCCTGAGATCCAAGTGTACCGTGTGTGTGTGTGTGTGTGTGTGTGTGCGCCTGTTGTGCGTTAGTGTAGGATTCTAAAGAGGAGCCTGAAACGTAGGGTTATGTTTAGAAGCTAGGTACAAGCTGCTACGGAGTAGCCCCTGGACAGGGTGGGCCGGTCAGTGCTGGGGGGGGTCACATCAAGGTAGATGAGACTTCCATATGGGAATCAAGGCTTTTATTTATAGACGGGCAAGACTTGGGGTGGATTTGTAAAAGGAGTGCGAGGTATAAGGCAGATGAGGGGAGGGCTTGAGGCACAGAAATGGGGGGCGAACACGGGGGGGGGCGAGTTATGTCAGCATGTCCCAGAGACAACAGCAACAGAGAGCAGTCCAGCAGGCTGTCAGGCACGTGTCTCCTGAGTCGTCCCTTCTCCTGTCCTCCACCACGTACACTGGAGAAAAGAGAGAGAAAACATTTGGAATAAAGCAAATAGTGATTTGTTTTCTCGAATCACGTAAAACCAGGGCTGATTCATCGCTAGGCGCAAGTGTAACCTGCTATGATTTCCGTCTAATTGCGTTCATCCCGGGAGGTGACACGTCGCCATGGCGACGCCGCAGAAGCCCAGCGCCATGATGCGGCAGCGTTACAGTTGAGTAGCACGAGCGCTGCTTTTGAGGTGAAACGAGGCTCAGAGCCGACCAGACTTTTAAAAAAAAAAAATTATTTTTAAATGTGTCCAGCAGCAGCTTTCCGTCACCTTCAGTCAATGTGTCTAAATAAGTCATGTGAAAGGATTACGTTGCCCATGTGTGAAGTTCCCCATCTGTTCCACACACACACAAAAAAAAAAAAAGAAGTACAACAACAGGCCAGCGTGGAAAGATCTCCGTTCCTTGTGGTTTTGATTAATCATTCATGTGCAGGGAGACGGCGCCCGGCACATAACAACCAGGCGCAGTGACTCGTGACAGAGGGCTGTTTGTTACCACGGTGACCGGCCCTGCACAATAGATTAGGTGAAGCTAGCTGAACTCTGATAATGAAATGACTAGTTAATGATTGGCCAATATTTAAGAATGAATGCCTTTTTTTGTTATCAAGATGATTCAAGGCATGTTCTTGATAGCAGAACACTCTTTTCTTCCATCAGAAGAAGCTTATCTTGATCAGTTCCATGAGCAGTGACACCTCACTGCGCTCTGTAATACAATGCCGTGTTTTAAAAGGTGTTCTCAGGAAGCTTTGCATATATTCATTTGGAATATTTTGTAAGTGTGATGTGTGCCTTTTTTAAAATATTTGATTCACAGATTGTATATCTGCATGACTTTACACATTTAAATCCTTAATGATTTGCTTGGCGTGCTGACTGGTTTTGCTTTTTTTCAGCTCTCATCATTTAGTCAAAAGACAGAATGAAGTTGTTTTTTTTGTGGATTTTCACAGGAAAGTCAAACATTTGATGGTTCTGGCTTCATCTTGGACAGTGAGAAATCAAGATGAGCATTTTCGCCTACTTTGGAACTAACTTTATCTGGAAAATAAATGTCACATTAATTCCTAAAATAAATAATAGTTACTTTTTAAGAGTAGACAGTTTCCTTTCTTGTCAAAGTTAAATATCATCAGTTTTATTCAAGAGTCCCACCGGGACCCTGAAACCAAAAGCAGCTTTAATGCAATTCAGTCACAACTCATTTTTATTTATTTTTTCTGTTTCAAAAAGGTAACTTGAGGCTTTGAGGAATATTGATTTAAACATTGCAAAACAAATCAAATACCTCCCAAATTCTAAATCAATGTTATTTTATCAGACATTTCCGTTTGGATCGACCTGCTGATGAAATGTCACATAACGAAGACGCCGCAGCTAAACGCCAATGTGACAAGAGGGAATGAAGTCATTTCAGGAATCAATAGCTACTAAAATGTGCCTTTTGAAAATACGATCTCTCATAATAATAAAATCAAGCTCAATGTGCGGCTTGTCTGGTCGATAGATAACACCGTAATCGTATATTTCTTGCTCGGCGCGTCTTTTGCTTGCCGTTTGCACTCGTCTCCGTCGCCTGTTGCCACTCACCTGTGTTTTTGGGAGCCTCCCCGTACATGGGCCCAGGGGGGGCCCCCCCCTGCCAGCCAAACTGAGGCTGCGGTTGACCTGGGTATCCGTAAGCAGGCTGTCCAGGGCCAGGGTAAGGACCTCCGGGGCCCATCTGTCCTGCAGGGTAGTTGGGGTACGCGGCGTTCGGCTGCTCCATGTTCACGGGGTATCCCTGTGGAGGGTAGCCCTGGGGGGGGTAGCCCTGTTGAGGTGGGCCCTGGCCTGGGTAGCCCGGGGCGGTGGGGCCATTGCCTGGGTACGGAGGAGGCTGCTCAAAATTCATCTTGGAGACAAACTCTCGCCTGAAGAGCAAGAAAATACAAGTTGAATTAGTCTGCTTAGAAAAGACGACAGTGACGAGAGGGGCAGAGGACATTGGTGTGTTGTCGTGGAAACGGCACTGATGTCAAAACAGGGAGAAGAGAAAACAATACCAGTCAGTACTTTGGGCGTGAAGTCAGAATTGAGGGCAAAAAGTAGTAGAACTTGTTTTTCCAACTGACACTAAACGAAATATCATAAAGTTAAATAACGGTGCTACATTGGTTTTAAACCTATATTAGTGTAATATAAAAGTAATTACCTTTTTTATAGTTGTAAAGTGTTGTAGATACAATACTAACCGCGTTCACTGGGGCTGGGCGGTATAACCGGTATCAAATTTGCTTACGGTAGGAATTTCTCCCACACGGTCACACTGCGTTTAGCCGCAACAACTGACAGGCTGCAATGTGTAATGTTCATCGCTCACTCGCGTTACGTGTACGGAGATTAACTTTTTTACTTTATAACGACAATGAATCATCCACGACACAACAAACGCTCTTTAACGGGGACAAACTCCACGACACGTAAACAATTTGTAACAACGAGCAGTGAACAGCTGTTCAGGGGGCAGTGAATGAATGAGTTTATTCAGGGAGAAAAAAAATAAATACCGTGACCGTTTTTGGCCACACCGCCCCCCCTGGTGTACACGATTTGGGGGTTCTTGTATGTCAAAATGGTTAGTTTAAACTGTCTCGTGGTCATACTAGTTTGCTGTTGACTTTATGTGAATGTTTCCAAATTCCACTGCAAATTGAGAATAATGTGGCATTGTATCAACTGCGTGTGCGTGCGCGTGTGTAAATTCGCCTCGAGGGTCACATTAGGGCCGGAATTCCACTGAGCCCATCTATGAGAACACAACATTTTCAGACAGGCACACGCACAAATGATGCAAACGTTTTCCCCGGATGGAAAAGTGAGGAGCACAAAGTCGGTCTCCAATCCCTCGAATCACCTCGGGTCCCGTCACGCCTTGGCAAGTATCGCACGGGGAACAATACCCGGACGCCGCGGCCACGATGAGCCCACATATTGCTGTTTGCATGTCGAGTGAGTGCTACGAGTCAACCGTCATCAGGGCCCACATCACAACCCACAACGATAAGCGGTTATGTTCACAGACATTACAAATAGAGGAGTGCAGAGCGATGCTAATCAAATTAACCATGGGAACGAAAGAGCGAGAACGAGATTGCGGCGACCAAACTTCACACTGCTTTTTTTCCTCCTTGCTGAGAAACACACACAACAACCTCACACATTTAGTGTTTCATTTGATGCAAATGCCTAACCAGGACATTTTTTTTTTTTTAGTTTCCACAGCTGTTTGGAAAGTCCAATAAATGTTTGTGATTCGCTTTGTGTCCTAAGGTTAAAAGTTCAACTTTAGACCTTGTAAGAAGAAAGTGCATTTCCCAACTTAATGGATTCCGATAAGGAACCTTCAAGTCTCCGTCACTGGATTTGCTCATGTAGAAGAAAGCGGGCGAGATGGAAAGCACGTCTGCCAGACCTCCCTGGATTCCTCTCAGGTTGTATATGTACACGGTAAACATCTAAATAGCACTCTAACTCCATTCTGCTCAGCTTCTCCTTCTACATCCACTCCTCCGCCCGAGACAAAGCAACGCTGTAAGCGGAAATGAGTCAAGAGGCATTTCTCGAATAGACGGAGAAACGGCTGCAATTTTGGAAATGCAACATTGTATTTATTAGGCTATAATTTATGAACACTGTTAATCTCTTTGATTAAATAATTCTACAATAATAATAATGTGATTTAAGGATGACTCTTGGGTAATGTTAACGAGTTAATTTCAGAAACAAATAAAATCATTGAAAAGGAAAGTAACGTAATGTTGAATTGAGCCGTAAGCTTCTCTTTGCGGCGCTTTTCAAAAGATGTCCGCACATTTCTTCCCGCCTGACAGATGGCAAGGCCCACGTAACTACGGTTACCGTGCTCCAGGAGGAAAAGAATGATCCCCGAGGCTTTTGTTGTACCTTGAGGCAGCGAGAAAGAGTGAAGTAACACAATCATCCGATGTCTCTTTCTCTCTGTCCCGGTTAACCGGGAAGCGTTGATGGCTGTCGGATCTCAAGTCATTTGTGACCATAGAGAGTGTTACATTACCGGCTACAGGCTGAGAAGAGCTTTTTTCAAAAGGGACCTTACAGCGAAACGGGTAATCTGACACCGGTGAGGCTGTTTACACAGCATCAAAGTTTACCCAGTGGGTCACCTTGGCTCTATTGTACACACATAAATCTGCAAAAGCCTTCAGCATTGTATTAAGTTCTGATGAGAAGTGATTTACAGGTTTCGTCTCCTATGAAAGCTGTGTGTCTGTGCGTGCGTGCATGCGTGTGTGTGTCTTTCTTTGGTGTATGGGTGTAAGTTCACTTGCATGTTTGTCATTTGTTTACCAAATGAGTAAGCTCGGACATTGTTCCCACAATATAACCATTGAGACGTCTCTCTGACAATGGTTTTACCTTGAGGAGTAAACAGGCGTAGTCGGTTCATTAATATGTGCGTTATATAGTCGCAGCCTTAAACGATGTAGCGCAAAAAACAAGCCTCTTAACCGGGGAAGCCATTAACCTTGATCAAAAAATACCTCTTGAGAGCTAGAGGAGCAAAACAAAGCAACTGGTCTAAATTAGTGTAAACTGGTTTAGGATTATATCAGCGGGAACAATGATCTAACAGGACACCAGGGGGGCTTCTCCTTATAAATACGTTCCCTTTCCTATGTAGCCTCAAGTGGAAAGGTAATTGCCAACTGAAATTGACAATGTGATTTTAAAATTACATTCAATTTCATACAATACCATAATGCACCTTTCCCAAGTAAAGGTATTACACAACAGAAAATCCAAGTTTGGCCTATAGGACACGTCGACAATACATGGCCTGGTTTATTCAAAATAGGGGCTTATTGTTGGGGCCTATCGGGTGGAGACCTGCTGCACAGGAGCAGCTCTGTACAGAAAGACATCACAAGACCGAGGGGCTGCATGTGAAGACACACACACACACACACACACACACACGGGCGGAGCCAAGTCACGACAAAGTGACAACAGAAGATAGCATTAATGTAGCTTTGACAGTTTCAGTTGAAAATAAAAAGGTTTGGTGCCACGCTCTTAACTTCACTGACATTTAGCCACATAGCATTCGTTTAAGTTCGGCTATTAAGCTAGCTAGTTATTAGCCTAATATTAATATTACCATTTTGACATCAGCCTTTTGGTATTAACGGTCTATTAATATCAGTAATGTATCAGTAAAGTCCATTCGTATGACGTTGTGTCGCGACGACAATAGGTTAAGTTATCAATATGATTTAATATTTAAGAAATATTTTGAGCTAATAACAAATGGCACCTGCAGGCCGCAGCCCATAGCATCGTCCCGTTTGCCGGGCCAGTTAATGATGAATGTAATGTCGGGCTCACAAACGAGCAGAAATAACGCCCAAGGACCCGTTGTGGACACCTACCTTTTGTATGAGTGGTCTTTTGTAAATATCAGCACTGTCTGTGTAGAAAGACAACTCCTCTTTTTTTCTGCGTTAACAACACTGTTACCGCAATGTGCGACCCTGTGTCTATAAAAACCCAGTGCGTATCGGGTTTGCTGGATGTGACGTCATTTAAGAATACGGCGCGGTGGGGGGGGTGGGTGGGGCTAGTGGGCAACAGAGGCTGGGATTGGCTGACATGACGGTCGCTGTACGTGGCGTCCAATCACCCACGAGAGCGATCGCCAGTGAGTCGTCAGCTAAAAGCAGGGACTCTTGATCATCTGACTTGATAAAAAAATGTAATCGGCCCGTATCACCGAGCCGGTGACGCAATTACGCACGAGGAGAAAGAAAAGGCGAGAGGGGTGACTAGTTAATATTAATCATTAATCAGAAAATGTGTTGATCTCGCCCCTTGACTTTTGATAAGAGCATGGGACAATTGCAGCTCTTGACATGCTAGTGATATGTTATATTTAATATTATATACAAATATATAAATGTTTACAATTACTTATTAGGTGCTCTTTTATTCAACTACAGCATGTGTTTTTATTCACCATATGCACCTGTTTGTCTAAGGTGCGTTACTGGTTTTCTCCCAGCAGGTGTCAGACTACTCCCAGTCAATTCCACACTGCTAGTTTTTGCTGTTTCTTCCTCTACAGTGAACAAGCTGTTGTCTTGTCATGTAGCTAACATATTATTCATGTTATTTTCAGCCCTAAACTTAGCATATGTTAGAACCCAAATGACCTGATTGAAACAACATAATGAATATGGTTTGTGTAGTATTTTGATCATATATATTATATTATCAGGCAAACTTTATCAAAACAAAGATGGTGCAGCAACGCTTTTGTATAAAAGATAGCTTAACACAAAAATGAAGTCCTTGACAATCTGGGCTACACGGTTCTCATAGTATAACCTTCTAATTGTGAGATTGTTGTGTTCAAAGAACAAAAATCTGAGCGAGTCTGTTCTATTTTTGTTATGACAAGAGAGAGCTATGGCTGCGGGGGGGTCTCTCTCTATATGCACACATCAAGCTCTCGGCTCCTTTTAGGCAGGCGGGGATGAGACAGCTCACTGAAAGAACGAAGCACTCACTGACAAACGCATGGCTCACTGTGGGAGCATTTACATAGTAGTACATGGTAGTGGGAGAGATGTTAATCTATAACAAAGTATCCTGTTCTAAATACACATAGTGTATTATTAATCTCTAAAGTAACTATTAACTAAAGCCGAGTACACGTTCAAAAAGTAGGTCATTGGGTTTAAAGATGGGGGGGGGGGTTGTGCAACATCATCTCAGTTCCTCCATCATAACGTGAAATTATACAACTAGAATATGAGCGTAGTGACATACCAGGGGCCGGCCACCCCGACAGCTGCCACTGACAGTGGAAGTTAAATAGGAAACAGTTCATATTCTGCAAGCTGATATCGGACCGTGGAGCATCGTGTGCTGAAATATTGTACAACGAGTGTGTTCAAACAGCTCGCCTGTGACAACAGAGTTGTAGACCAGAGAAACAAGGACCTGACTTCTACCATACAGACATTGAGCTATATTTACAGCCATTACAAAGTCAAGCATGGGAAACATGTTGGAAGGTGGTAGGTACTGTTACTGGACACATGGCCTGGCAGCAGCTGTGAGAGGACTGACCTGAGACTGTCCAACGAGGAATGTCACAGATTCTGCACACGCCAAAAGGAATGCTTAGCTATTCTGTATTCTCTGTTTGTTTTAAAGTCAGCAAGGCCAAGTTGTACAACAACACAAAGTATTCTGTATTCCCTGTTTGTTGCAGTGTGAGCAAGGCCAAGGCTTTGCTGCAGTGTAGGTGGAGCTGTGTTAAGTCGATTCAATTGAGTATTTCTTGTCATTTCCTACGGTTTACAGCCTTCATTCACTCCTCTGTTGGAAAGCTCACTTACAGGAGCTAAGCAGATGAAACCTGGTATGAAGCACACGTGTCTACGATAGCAGTGTTATCCAAGAAACGAACATAATCTGTTTATAAAGCGCAGCATGTCTAGGAAATGAAACCCTTTACTGGTGCACTCAACCGAACAGCTGGCTTAACTCCTGCAAAAAGGAAAGCATGCAAAGGCAAGTTTAGGTTCATGGTGCATGGGATAAAACTGCAATCCACTTCCCCCCCCCCACCCCGTCATGTTGGCTGTGACCAAATCGGCCGTGTGTAAACCAGTGTCTGTTTACATCGTCACCCCGGCAATTTAACCCGAATCTGCTGCAACGGATTCAGCAGGAGCAGCTGACTGAAATGGAGCCTGGCCGCCCCGGCCCAGCGCCACCCAACCCTGAGACGGCAAGAAAGGGGGTGGAGGTGGATGTGGGGGGGATAGTTTGTCTGTGGAAAAGGGCAAGGGAGCAAGATTACCAGAGTTAATTGAAGCCCAACGGGGGGGTCATCTGAAAAGAAGTTGTTTACGATGGTGCGAGAACGATGTCATCCGAAACAACACCATTGACTTGTTCTCTACAAGCTAAGAGGAAGAATTTACACACTTATGGTCACTATTTGGTTTCAGGGTGGCGATTCCATCAAATAGCACTAAATATGTATATTTTACCTCTAAAAAGTACAGTAGCAGTCAGAGGTTTTCTGTAGTTTGACACATATTCACACAAAACATCATGGAGGTTTGTAGAAATCTTCATGTTACTTCTCAGACGTGTGTTTGCACAGACTTTTTGCCCTCATTGCGTGACAGACGCCTCGCTCCGAAAAGTTGCTGCATGCTCCCGTGTTATTGTGACACATGTCCCGTGATAAACGTAATAACCGGGGTCTCCCACTCTGGGCAATTGTTCACCACTGAAACATAACATTCTTGACATAACTGCATTAATACAAAACAAGTTTTTCTTCTAAACCACCAAGTGCCACTTAAAAGTACATGAACTGCGTGCAGTGGAAGGCAACTCTATGCAGGCATATTTGCAAATGAAAAATGTAGGTGGCCATGTTATCGTGCTGTAGTGCAGATGCATGAAAGGAAAGCACATTTTTTATGCACAGAGTATTTTTCCATAATGGACAAGCTTTAAACGTGATTCACAATGGTTGGGGTGCATTTGTATCCTTTTAGATGCAACTTGTCAGTCATGGAGGCGCCATTTTGAGCTAGTCAACAAGCCTTTTACCCTACAACGCACTGTGTGTACACTGAATTATTTCTTTTCAACAAGTCAGCAGGCTCGTGATGAAGGTAGAGGACCGTTCTGTAAACACGTTGAGTCCTTAGATCTACTTTTAGACGTGTCCTGCTTCTGGAAGTGTGGTAGAAATCACTAAATCATTTAGATACAACTGGCATAGCAGTCCTCTTGATTCTTTTCTTCTCAACACCAAGGCAGTTTGTACTGGACATTGGAGCCGCCCCCCGAACAGGACATGGGATGTTTACATGTGGTTTAGCAGTAGCAGCATGTTCCTCAGTGTGTCCCAAAAACATCCAATCCAACAAGCCCTCAAAACTTTGTCACAGATTCATGTGGCCTTTTTACTCGTGTGCTCAGAACAAAGACCAAAACTGAACATGCAGGTCAATCAGCATGTTTGAACAAAAACAAGCGAGTGATAACTTTTTGAAATACTGTGAAACGTTTATCTTATCATTCTGCACTCCACAGCAGGTGCAATATTTGCTGTAGGGCGCAGTAACATTATGGCACACAGCAAGTTGACTACTAAACAGGCCAGACACAGAGCACATGCTCTGAGTCACGTATGAGGTCATGCAAATCAGAGCTTCTTGCGCAAAAATAGCAGAATTAGTCTGATGCAACGCTGAGGGGTTGCCGGTCTCACCTGCCAGACCAGTCCATCAGAGCAGACTTGCCACAGCCCTGACTTACCGATGACGCATAGGGACCTCCTAGATATTTACTAAATAAACAATTGCGTATCGGAGACAAGTCTGGTCAAATACCAGCAGGTCTCACACGCCACCCCCCGCCTTCCGTCGTTGAGCTGGAGCGTACCTCCTGCCTACCCACCAGACCTGTTCCTACAGTCAGCCCCCTTAATCTACAGATCAGTGGCTGGAACAAACAGGCATACTTCGCCTCGACCTGGTGTACACAGAGCCCTTCAGGCTTCGCAGCAACGTGTGCGATCCTGCGCTTTGAAGGAAGGATTTCTTTCATAGACCGTTTTAGTGGTCAAGCATCGGATGTTTATCTATTACAATGTTTGACAGTTCAACATTGCTTCTTGGGCAACCGGAAAGTGTTTAACTTGAATTTGACCCAAAGTTAAAATAATGCAACATCTGTGTACCGCAGTGAGTTCCCATCAGCGGTGCTTAAAAACTCTCCATGAGTTATTCAACATTTCTGTGCCCAAATGCTTTTCCATTACATTAATACTTGCATTTTAAAGAATAGTTCAAAAGGAATAACAATGTGCTAAACATAGTTTAAAATAGAATGAGGTACATTTGACAAAACAGAAAAACACAAAATCCATTGTTGGCAGTCTGAATAGCCTTTATTTGAAATGATTCACACTTCATGTCTCTCTCCATACAAAACAGAAGAGGCTGATTTTCAGAAGGCCCTGACCCCCAATATCATGACAAAGTAAGTTAGACATCTGGGGGGGGGGGTGTATACAACAAAAAACGATGCCTGCAGTGAAAAACTACATTCTTAATGTAATCATCCTGTATTCCCCAACTTAAAAAAGGCTACATTGTACAATGTTATTTACAAAAGATTTTAAAAAAGCGAAATCAAAATGGATTATTTTCAATCCTGCTGCAGTGAGTAAGCCACTAATCAGCCCTTTAAACACCATTTATTCTGCTTAACACTTTTAGGATCAAAAACACCCTACAGTTTGCAAACTTTTCAATTTTTTTTTTGGGTTCCTCACAAAAGCTTTTATTTACAAAAGATGAAAAAAAAGCTTCATTAGGTAATTTGCATTACAGCCACGAATGACCTTGGAGGTTTTTAAATGATAATTCTCCACAGGAGGTAATACTGGAGCTCAGATGTCCATCTCAAACTGGTTGTCATCTGTTGAATGAGAGAAGAAACGGTTAAGATTAAAGGCATGGGAGGGGCTTGACAATCAGCTGGTAGTTAACATTGGTGTTTGCGGTGAGAGCCCAACAGCACATTAACGGACTAAAGTAAAGATCACAAAGTACAGACTTTATCAATGCGTACAGGATAGGGGAGAAAGAAAAACATCAGACTTTATGAGTATATCTCGCAAATCCAGACGGCACAAAAGGTCCTGTGTGTTTATCGACCCAAAGGAGAATAAAGGGCGTCAACATTGATCCTTTAGGTCTTTACTTTGACAGGAGCAATGATGGTTTGATTAATTTAAAAAAAATAATCCAAACTTCAAAAACCTTTGATAACACTCATGAATCATAGCTCAAAATATGCTTTTTATTCCCAGCAAGTTCTGTTATCTGGAACAGGCTTTAAGAAACTTAATAGTCAGTAAAACTGCACATTGGGGGAAGAAAGAAAATCCCTCTAATCTTAAAAGACAAAACAGCTGATATAATCATCTTAACAAAAAAAAGCATATGTGAAATAAATTGATGGTATCGTAACTATTCACTAACCTACTTTAAAAGCCATGTAAATAATTGGTAATATTTTGAAGTCAATGAACTATGAAAAACACGAGAATTATATGAACATATGGGTTGTCACATAAACCTTGAAGTGTGCATTCTCCATTAAACTAACATGAATTAAGCTCAGCAAAAACAAATAACTTAAATATTTACCTGGTACATCCTTCTCTTCTTCTTCAGCCTCCTCCTTCAGATCCTGTAGTTTCCCCATAGGGTGCGTAGCAGGAACCGTCACCCCGGGGATCTGGGGCAGGCAGCAAGGGGGGGTCCGGGCCAATGGGGAGTTTCGACAATCCAACAGAAACTTCCTATCATAAATGATTCGGGTACCTGAGAAAGACACAATCCGGCAGTCAACCTACAGTAAAATACATCTATTCAAAAAAGGAAACCGTGAATTTTATGAAGACAAATCAAATCCATGCGAGTGCACAAACATTCGAGAGCAAAACTCCTTCCTGCGCGAGCTATTTGCTATTTCTGCATTTTTTTTTTAATTAAGGGATTAGAAAGTCAAAATGATGAGATAAGACACCCGCAGGCTCCTTCATCCAACGGACTTTTGGTTGCAAATGTTTGATTTGCGCTCTCGGATTTTAACATTGATTTGCCTTCATAGAATTCTTTGATGACAAACAACCGATTGAAAGCTAGTGCATCTAAATACAATAACAGCTATTTCAAGAGCATTTTTGCATGTGTGCAATGTGCACATCTGGGAAGTGGAGTATCAATTTCCTCTAGCAGAGGGAATGTGTGTGGGAAAGGGGGGGCTATATTCGAGTGCGAGGGGAAGGGCTGAAGGCCGCCGCTGCCAGGAGTTCTTGGAAATCAGAGCACAAAACAGCTTCTCATTGAAGCAGGATGTCTTTAAATTAGACCAACATGTTATTATTTTCCTTGGTCTCATCTTTGACATTAATGGGAGGGGAAAAAAAGGAGGGGTGGCGGGTTGATTGATGTCAACAGCTTGCACCATCTAAAACAGCCTTTCCAATCTCACGTCAGTGATCGTCAGGACTTTGACAAACTCAAAGCAAAAACAGAATCATAAATGGCGCGTTGTGATGAGTTTGACCGGGATGCTACTTTAGTCGAGGAGTGAACTGCTGCCTCTTTATCGGAGTTTGAACCTACTCAACCTCGCCAAGAGGAAAAACATGTTATGCAATGACAGTAGAGCAAACCGCCCTGGACAAAGGGACGCTAATCAGAGGGTGGGGGTGAAGAAGATGGGGGCGAGGAAAGAGGGTGGGAATGCAAGCCATAGTGCTTGAGATACATTGCAAGGCAGCTCGCCCTGTGGGCGGAGTAGTTATGTTAAAGTTTAAAAAAAAAAGGGGGGGGGGGGGAGAAGAGAGAGTCATTCCAGCAACACATGGCGTGACCCCAGTGAAATGTGTTGCACATAGGAGGTGGAAAACAAGTTGAAACTCTTTTCGTAGCAAGTTCCTCTGCCTTATTTGGCAGTGTCATGTTTTTTTCGTGTGTAAAAACTAAAATGTACCGCTCACTTCCTCCATGCATTAAACATTTCCATTCACCCCTCCTCCTCCCCACTTGTACAGAATGTTCTCGACAGTTCTTGTGATGTAAAGCAGCGAGGACAGGACGGCCTACACCTCCTCCACCACCAAGGCGAGGCCAACCACTCCACCGTTTTTGGCATCCACCCCCTTTAAGTCACACGTCACTTGTTAAACCGCGTGTTGTTGTCTCCGCATGCCAAAACAAAATACAGTGTCGACAGCAAATCTGATTTTTTAAATCATGTTTATGTCAATTAACATGCATCTTTTGTGTAAGCCAAAAAGTTACTATAGTTCAGCTTTTAGCAATGGAAATATGTACATATGTATCGGTCACTATATAGTCTGATTATACTAAACTAGTACTCGTGTACGCGTTTCTTTTATGTAAAGCTTCCGGTGTAGTGTTCACTAGGCTCGGAGAAAAAGAAAATGACAGCAAACTTGCTGTGCTGACAACACGAGGGCTGCAGCCGCCTGTCAGCGTGCAGAACGTGAACAACGAGACACTTCTGCTCGACCCCGCTGCACAATAGCGACAGTTAACGCTCGCACGGTTATTAGACGGGTTGGGGCGGTGGTGTAAACACACACCCTCCATCAGCAGTCTCGAGCGCCTTCGTGTTGCATTGTTTGCAGCTTCTCGCGAGACCCAGCGCATAGTTTGCCTTTATGCTTCTTGACACATGCGAAAATCGTTGAGTTACAGCTGCTGAAGCTGCTCCGACGTCCTTCCGTGGCGTTGACGCATTTTGAAGAATTAAAAGGAAAAAAAGGCTAAAAAAAGTTGCCTTGAACACGAGACGTGGCGCGGTCCTTACCTCCGGGCGTGGTGGAGAAGAGGGTCCCCCCGGGTGTCTGGCTGTAACAGTCGGGTAGCTGGGACCAGTCTTTCAGGGTGAGCACCCTGGTGGGGATGGGGCAGCTTTTAGCTTCATTAGTGCCAGTCGACATGCTCAGCTTCTGCGGGAGGGCAACTAATTCGCTTTTTTCTTTTCTTAACGTCCTCGAACTCGCAGTTTAAGGCTCGCTCACCGGCCTGCGCGGAGACAAGCCGCTTCGGAGGGGTCTGCGCAGCGAGCGGGTGGCCGGAGTGAACTTAATGCAAGCGGAGAACTGGAACAAGCTGAAGCCCGGCGGTGTCCGTCGCTACAAGCTGCTTCTAAACGCCACCATGTGCTGTCTTTGTACCACACACCGCTGCAGCGGCCACTCGTGATGTTTTTGTGCAACGAGCTATGAGACACGTGGTTATGGGGTGCGATTGTTTTCTTGTAAAAGACAGCAGCGGGAGGAGAGGAGGGGGGTGTTAACAAAAATAACCCAAAGAACAAGACGTTTATTGATGATTTAATAGTATGATATATATATATATATATATATATATATATATATATATATGTGTGTGTAGTATATGACAACACAAAGTTGCCCTCTGGGTGAATTGGCTGAGGTTAATGTACGATGTATGTACAATTATGGCATTGCTTTTACAGATGGTTAAACATGAGCATTACAAAAATTACCACCGTGTCTTGTCTGGTTCACAAATCCAGCGCTCCCCCACGTCATCCGTGACGCTCGCTCGAGCGCACTGCCCCCTACTGGCTCTCTATGCGTGGAGCAGACGGCACGTTTCTCACGGAGGGCTCGTCGTCAGCTGCTCCAGTCCACGGAGCGACGTACAAACAGACATCAACAAGCACTTTGTACCATTTCCTGAATCTACACTTTATTTCTGTCACATGGAATTTTGTGGGTATTTGTGGGATTGTTGTCATAATTGCGGTACTGATTGTATTTACTCGATGTGCTTGAACCTTATGTTCTTCCTTGTAAATTGTTCTTGGTGATTAAGAAATGAAACACAAAATCCAAAGCTGTGTAAATTGCCTGTCGGATTTTTAATTAATGTCCACACAGTGGACACAACGGCAAAAAAGTTATTTTCTTCCCTTTTTAATTCCTTCTATGAATAGAGAGGAATAAATAATGTGACATCATAAAATTATATGTGAAAATACAGAAAAGTATTTCAAATGTTAAAAATACTAAATATATATTTAACTTTGCCCTTGCAGTTCCATTCCGGTTTCCGATAGAAATGTACTCTCATGTACCATCCACTTGAGGGCGTCAATGTCATGAACACATTTGGGCAACAGTTCTTATGCATAATATAAGACAGTGAGATGTATAGTAATAAATATTCCAAATGTATTCATTTTAATATGATTTTTTTTTACATCTCGCGTTCACTGGTTACCCTCGTTTTTAACGTCTCGTTACAATGACTTGTGTTTTTATTTTTTTATTTGCACAATTCAAAATAAACAATAACCAAATAATTGGTGGATTTCAGTTTCAGAGAGAGGCTGTCAGGTGTGCCGTGAAAAAAATCATTTTTTACATACTGTCACTTCATTGGTGAAAAAAAAGAACCAACTTGTGTGTTTGTGTGTGTGTGTGTGTGTGTGTGTGTGTGTGTGTCGTCGCGCTGTTGGTGGTATGAAGGCTCAATACTCCCCTCTGCCTGTGGGTGGCGATACGCAGCGTAATTAATAGGCAGATTTGCTGAGGCGACAATTTAAAACAGTGAGATTTACGGCTGGCGCATGCTTCCGCTTCGTCGCACTCGTTTCAATTCATGGTCATGAATCTGCAGCCGTTTCTCAATACCTAAGACGGCGAGAACGGACTCGCGTTCCCGCGAGAATAGACTCGGGAGACAGACTCGGGAGTCCTGACTCACGGGTACGGGAGAACGGAGAACGGACATTTCCGCAATTGGAACAGCAGCTGACTTGATGACGTCACCACAGTAGGCGGTCTTTGTTTACGCACGCAAGTATCTCATCTGCCATCGCAGCTTGCTGAGGTGAAATGCATTCTGGGATATATGTCTCTCACAAGAACAGACGAGCCTGCTTCGATGCATGCCCGGTAAAATGGGCGGGGCGAGTCACATCCGGGTATTATGACCGTTCTCGGCCAGATGCGGACTTGAGAATTGGAACAGTACTCGGGCTGTGACTGATGACGTTTCACGAGTCCACGAGAACAAAAGTCCACACAAGAACGCATATTGAGAAACGGCCTGCGTGTGTTGCAAAGCAATTCATCTCCAGAACAACAGGCGGAGTAACGTGTTTTTATTGAAGACGACCCAGAGAGTCACGTCTATTTATTTGTTTGTTTATTTATCATAGACTTTATTGCCCCGTGCATCGACACTGCTGCTTTTCATCGCGGACACATTTGTCCCGTATTTTCCTCGACAACTTTGCGCACCTCTTGACCGGCAAACCGGCGTTTGCGGCGATCTCCCTCCGTGAATCCAACCCGCTTCTACAACCCGCCAATGACGGCTTGTATAAGCGGTCATATTTACGCATTTCTTCCGACAAAATTTCTTAAATCTGATCTCTCGTAAACATTCGTCGTTTTAATAATGGCGGTATCGGGCTATGAAAGCGGAAACGTGAGACTCCGTAAAGGACGTCGTTAGCGGACCAATCGCAGCCTGGTGCGCTGCGGAAGGCTTGCGTTGCCTAGAAAAATCTCGACACACGCAAGGACGTGAGGAGGTGTGAAAAGACACGCAAGGGACACGCAAGGGGGTCTTGGGTCTGCGTCGCTCTGAAAACGCAGAAGCATAAACTAGGCTTAAGAGATACCTGGGCATAAAGCCTGTGCCATCTTGGAATTAGGATGATGTTAAATTGAATAAAACACAACTAATAGAACACGCGTTTCCCCGATTTCTTAGAGTATGTTATGCTCATGCTGAAACTATGTTTGGGATTGATTTTCATATCATTTCCGGTTGTTAGTGTGCCGTGAGATTTTTTTCTGAGTCTTAAGTGTGCCTTGACGCGAAAAAGTTTTTGTTGCGTGTGTATGTGTGCACGCAAAAGTAAGCACGGCTTGAGATTGTTCACTGATGTTGGATTGTACTCCTGTGGTAATTAATAAACAATGGAAATGTACTTATAGCAATTAGATTTTTTTTCAGGCACTTTTTGAAACATTTTATAGGGGGAGATGTTTCTTTTAGGTGGGATAAATCATCCCATAATTCGGTTCACCTAAATATAACAGAAAACTGACCTGCTTTCCCTTCACCTTTTCTTAAAGGTTCCTAAAGGGCTCTTCCAGAGAGCCCTCAAACACTCGGCGGTGTAGCAGTGGGGACAGACAGCCCTAAAACGCTGGAGTAAGCGGCAGCGCGCCTGAAAGTGCGTCAGCCCGTGCGGGGCGAACTGACATCGGGCCTTATTACCTCATGCCAAATACTTCCCCTTGCGGATGCGGGACGTACACAGAAAAAAAACGACTGCAGACCTAGCTCGGCCTCTCATTGGTCCAGAAACATGGAATCAGATGACGTAGTAGTTCCGGTTTCTAGTTCCCTCATTAAAGGTAACTCTCGGTCATTTGTGAACAGAGACGCGACTGACCCGCTTCCCCTCCGCTGAAGGTAAGGACGCCTCCAGTCAGCCGATAAGCGGGGTGGCTCTTTAATCCCATTCCCGCCCCCGAGACGTGTGTTGGGGGTTAATTCGTGTCGGAGGTGTTGAATTGGCTCAGGCTAACGTGCTCGGTAGCTAACGCGCACGCCAATCAATGCGCGGCCGCTTTGTCGTCATGTGTGTGTCCGCCGCGGCGCTCCTCAGCCCGTCGTGACACACGAGCCGCTAAATAGCGCGCGCGTGTGAGTAGGGACGCAAAAAACGCGCTCTCCGCCTCCTGTTTAGTGCGTGCGTGAGGGTGATTTTTACGAAATAACGTTACGTTTTTCCACATGGGATTTTGTGTGTAACTTTAACGTTAAACTATACACAATCGTTACAATGGTTTGGTCTTTCCCGCTCTAAAAATGAATTAATTTGGGTTATATTTGTAAATTATCTGTAATCTGTTATCTGTAAATTATTTATATTAGCGTGTAACATGCTCGGCATTTCGTCACGAGTCGAGTGCGACACGCGTGGTGTTTGTCTCGCCATGAATAATCATTGACGGATGCGATTTGTATGAAGACCTTTTATTTATATTTACAAATAAAGGCGTGTCAGTCCATCCTGTTTTGTCCATCCTGTGTTCGTAAACTGAAATCCACCAAAGCAGGAAAAAGGCCCCAAAACGTCTCGTCATGCAAACAAACGGTCTTTATTTATCTAATGAAGATCAACCAGCTTTTTTTGTCCCCTTCTTACATATACACACTTTCTGTGACGTGGATGGAAGCAATGATTCACTACAGTGAGTAAAGTGAGGCTTTGGGAGTTTTGGTTACATCAGTCAGTGTTTTCCCGAGGTTTACAACTTCTATTGGGAAACACTGCACTCCTTGTACTGTACAATTAGTTCATTGCGTGTTCTTCCGGTCCAGCTGTTTCTGTATTGGTTATTTATTCAGATGTTGAAGACGCGTTGCATCCCCTTGTTTCCTCCTCAATGTGCCCCGCGTCTCGAGGCTATTCTTAGCCAACGGAGCTTGACCTATAGTGGCTTTTTCTCTGACCACCGAGTGGGGTGAGCTTCAGGAGTGTTGTCATTGGTCGCGTGCAGCTCGGTGCTCTTGGGGATGACCCGCGGGGGAGTGGGGGGGGGGGGCGATTGTGAGGCGGACGCTTTGGTACATAAGTGATGGAACGTGCGTAGAGTTGAGGACGAAAGCGGTGAGTCTCTCGAGCGCTGAGTGTAGTTTGTAGCGTACAGGTTGTGGATGAACTTGAATGGCTGACTAGTTTGATGCACAAACCAGTTTTGTGAGGGTTTGTTTTTTGTGTGTGTGCAGCCACACAGGCTCACTTGTATAGCTCACTTCCTCTTTGAGACCGCTGTAGGCACACAGCTATTTCTCTTATCTTTGTTTAGTACTTTGACTTAAAGTTTATACACATGTAAAATAACTATCATCTTTTTTTCCCTTTTTTTTCCAGCTTCAGGTGTAACCTTTTGAGGGCAGTGGACCAAATATTTCCATCTCGTAGTAGTTCTAGGATTCTTAAGATTGGGTTACTTTTCTTGGGGGGGCTTGGACTTGTTTGTGACCAGCACACTATAGAAACTAGCCTAAACAACCAGGGCTCCTCCAGAGAAAAGAATGGGTCTCCAACCACACTCTGCCCTCCAAGCTGTCCTCCTGCTTCCAATCCACCTTCTGGTGTGGCTGTACTCCGTCCTGTCCTTTCTTCCCTGGTACTGCGTGACTGGAGCCGGGGGGCGAAAAGCTCTGTCCAAG